CCACTCATTTACCCACCCACTCACCTACCCACTCACCTAACCACTCACCTAACCACTCACCTACCCACTCACTCACCCAACCACCCACCTCATCGCGGACCCAACAAACTAAAAGTGAAGTGTCCGCTGGAATCGCTGTTTGTTGTTCTTGTTGGGGTTTAGATGGCTCAAGTATAAACGTGGTCGTTCAACCCGTTGCCACCAACCCACCACAGCCAATCAGTCGTCAAGGTTTCGTCACGTGAACAACACGCGAACCAATTCGTTACTAAGTCAGCACACACACACAGGTTGTGTGTGTTTGGAGAGTTCAACCTACGACGTTTACAATTAACTCTCCAGCACACAACCTCCTCCTCCTCCTTCGCGATGTCTCTGTCGCTTCTCTGTCGCTTCTCGGTTGTTGCTATGTCGCTTCTATGAATCGTGTCGGTTAGGCAGACAGATGCTGAAGGTTCTAGCCGCTCTAGATTCCGCTCTAGATTCAAGCACATTCACACCAGGCGGTGAGATTTGATTGCCGAGAGGACAGAGTCGGGATTCATTCGCGGCAAATGAAGTACAAACCGTCGATTTCGCTTTTAAAAAATCAATGCCATGCGCAGCACCATCGTAATTCGAGTCAAATGTGAGAAAAAGCTGAGTGCGGATGGTGCCAAAGGCTGCATCGGCAGATGGAGAAAGGCGGACGGACAAATGAAATAATCGAATCCATAGACTCACGAGCAGATCTGTAGATTTGCACAGAGACCTATTGACTCGCACAGAGACCCATAGATTCACACAGAGATCCATAGACTCACACTGAGACCCATAGACTCACATAAAGACTCATTAGACTCACACGCAGATCTATAGATTCACATTGAGACCTATAGACTCACATAGAGACCCGTAGATTCACACAGAGATCTATAGTTTTGGACCGAGACCCATAGACTCGCAATGAGACCCAAACGAGGTTTACACTGAACCCCATAAAATCACACTGAGACCCATAGACTCACATAGAGACCCATAGACTCACATAGAGACCCATAGACTCACACAGAGATCTATAAACTACTCGCACAGAGACCCATAGACTACTCACACAGAGACCCATAGACTACTCACACAGAGACCCATAGACTACTCACACAGAGGCCCATAGACTTACATAGAGACCCATAGACTACTCACACAGAGATCTATAGATTGACCCAGAAATGCATAGCCTCACACCGAGACCCAGAGACTTGCACTGAGACCCATCGACTCGCAAAGAGACCCATATATTAATATAGAGACCCATAGAATCACACATAGATCTGTAAATTGACACAGAGACCCATAGACTCACACTAACACCCACAGACACACACAGAGATCTATAGATTGACAAACACTCATAGCCTCACACTGAGATCCATTGACTCACACTGAGACCCAGACTCGCATAGAGACCCATAGACTCACAAAGAGACCCATCGACTCGCACTGAGACCCATGGACTCACATTGAGACCCATAGCCTCACAATTTCGACCCATAGACTCACACTGAGACCCATAAACTCGCACAGAGACTCATAAGACTCACACGAAGATTTCTCGATTCACAGACAGACGTACACAATAGACAATCGTAAAGACAGCCGGGGCCGACTGGCCCGGTTAGTGATTCGAGTGTTTAAAAAAAATTGGCGCGCGAATTATAGTTCACCAAAACAAAATAGTTCGCCCAAAAAATTGTAGTTCACCCAAAAAAAAATAGTTCACCTGAAAAAGATACAGTTCACCACGAAATTATAGTCCACCGAAAAATATTGCTGATTAAAGAAACAATAGTTCACCTAGAAATATAGAATTCACCAAAATAGAAAAGTTCACAAAAAAAAATTGGAGGTGGACGAAATTTTTGAATTTCCACGGCAACCTTTTTGGCGGTACAAAAAGAAATCCCTCGCTCGGAGAGGCGTCACCGCACCACCTCCGCGTCACCGCACCACCGCGTTACCGCCGTATCACCGCTCAGCCGCGCGGCTCGAGAAAGTAGTTCTGCGCTGCTACGGGGGGGGGGGGGGGGCATTCCAGTGACCTGTACACACGTCAACAACTTAGACGCAAGGAGTAGTTCTAAAGACGTGAGTGTGCCACTCGAGAGGATGGCGATTTCAAAGTTACGTAGCTCCTGTGGGCTTCAGACTATCGGGAGGAAAGAGCGTTCCAGACGGCCGCATCGTCGTCATCACCACCATCAACGTCGCCATCCCTCGCTTCCTCGTCACGCAGGTACCTCCTCAGCATCACCACCATCATCATCAACATTATCACCGCCGTCACCACCGTCAAGTACGTGTGTACGTTGAACTTTCATTCGCGCCGTACGTAGCCAACCGGGCCAATCGGAGGTGTGGGGAGTGAAGGACAACAAACTAACGCGCAAAAAAAGCAGCCCTAAAGACGTGCGTTTGTCAATCTAAACGATTATTTCAAAGTTGCGTAGATCCGGTGGGCATCAAAATACAAATATCGGAAGGAAGAGCGTTCCAGACGGCCGCATCGCCATCACCATCACCACCATGAACGTCACCATCCCTCACTTCCTCGTCACGCGGCTACCCCCTCAACATCACCACCACCATCATCAACATCGTCACCACCGTCATGTACGTGTGTACCCTGAACTTCCTTCGCACCGTACGTAGCCGACCGCGGCTGATCGGAGCTGTCGGGGGGGGGGAAGGACAACGAAAAACTGAATGCGCGCAAAAAATAAATGAAGAAAAAAAGCAGTCTCGACGGCATGAAAAGTTGCATCGCATCCCGGCGGGATTGCCGACCTTCGGGAAGACAAGAGCGTTCCAGACGGCCGCGGCAGCGCGCGCGCCAGACGGCGTCGCCGCAATGGGAGAGGCGTCCGGCGTCGCTTGACGGGACGGACCGACTCCTCGTTCATTGGATGCCGACGGTGCGTTCACTTTTGGGGGCCGTGCATAAATGACGTCACGCGATTTTGGACGATTTTTGACACCCCCCCCCCCCCGTAAATATGACGTCACAAAGCTCTGCCCCCCCCTCCCTTAAAACCATATTTCCATGCGTCAAATCGCTTTAAACTATTGTCATTGTAGTGCGCATTTAATGTGGCGACGCACTCTGATGTTGTAGGAGACAACATTGATTAAAAAGTCTATTTCATTAAGTAGAACGTGTTGTCTATATTTATTTAAAGTTGCGCATTTTTACATGACGTCACATTTCTCAAACCCCGCCCCCCCCTCGTCACACATCGTCACAAATGTCTGACCACCCACCCCGCCCCCCAGGTGCGTGACGTCATTTATGGACGGCCCCTTTCACGCGCGCGTACACAAAATAACACCACGTGGCTTTCTTCTTCGTGGCACCGGTCGATGGTTTGACGAAACAAAGACACGCGTCTCACCACCACCACCAACACCACCGCCACCACCACCACACCCACCACCACCACCACTACCGCCACCACCACCGCCACCACCACCACCACCGCCACACCCACCAACACCACCGCCACCACCACCGCCACCACCACCACCGCCACCACCACCACCACACCACCACCACCACCACACCACCACCACCACCACCACCGCCACGACCACCACACCCACCACCACCACCACCGCCACCACCACCACCACCGCCACCACCACCACCACCACCGCTGCCACCACCACCACCACCGCCACCACCGCCACCACCACCGCCACCACCATCACCACCGCCACCACCACCACCACTGCCACCACCACCACCGCCACCACCACCGCCACCACCACCACCACCGCCACCACCGCCACCACCACCACCACCACATCCACCACCACCACCGCCGCCACCACCACCACCACCACACCACCACCACACCCACCACCGCCACCACAGTCACCACCACACCCACCACCACACCCACCACCACCGCCACCACCACCACCACCGCCACCACCACCACACCCACCGCCACCACCACCACCGCGTATGGCCTCGACTGTTGGGGCAAGGCGCTGTGAGCGAGTAGCAAGCAACCTGTGACGGCACACGAGGGGGGAGGGGTGGGTGGCCAGCGCCACGCCCCGGCCGCCTTTGTCTCCCTCGTGGCGCCGTTATGACGCCGAGAGCCCAGAGGAAACCCCACGCGGAACAGGAGGGGGGGGGGGGGGACATACAGCACTCAAGACGCCAAGATAAAGGTCCCCCGTGTAGCCTTCAACAGACTGTTGGGGCAAGTGCTGATAGCGAGTAGCAGCACCTGTGAAGGCCGGCACTGTGGCACACGAGGGAGTGGGTGGCCAGCACCAACCAGGCCCCGACTAAAGTGGCGATGTTTTACTTACGCACAAGAAGACAAAGACAAAGTTCCCCCGTATAGCCTGTAGCAGACTGTTGGGGCAAGTGCTGTCAGTGAGCAGCACCTGTGTGAGTCTCTGGCTGGGTGGTTGGCTGGGTGGGTGGCTGGGTGGTTGGGTGGCTGGCTGGGTGGCTGAGTGGCTGGCTGGGTGGTTGGGTGGGTGGCTGGGTAGTTGGCTGGGTGGTTGGGTGGGTGGCTGGGTGGGTGGGTGGCTGGGTGGGTGGCTGGCTGGGTGGTTGGGTGGGTGGGTGGCTGGGTGGCTGGGTGGGTGGCTGGCTGGCTGGGTAGTTGGCTGGCTGGGTGGTTGGGTGGGTGGGTGGGTGGCTGGGTGGGTGGCTGGCTGGGTGGGTGGGTGGGTGGCTGGGTGGGTGGCTGGCTGGGTGGTTGGGTGGGTGGGTGGGTGGGTGGCTGGGTGGGTGGCTGGCTGGGTGGTTGGGTGGCTGCCTGGGTAGGTGGGTGGCTGGGTGGCTGGGTAGGTGGGTGGCTGGCTGGCTGGGTGGTTGGGTGGGTGGCTGGGTGGCTGGGTGGCTTGAACCCGATCACACGCGTACACACACACACACACACGGAGAGAGAGAGCTCGCACCGCCGCCGGCCGTCACCACCGCCGCAAAACCGCCCGCTCACCCAGCACGATGGTGACCGTCTTGAGCAGGCTCATGATGGTCTCCCGGTTGCGGCGGGCGCCGCACGTGTGCCGTGACATGCGCATGGCGCGCGAGCGCACGTACACGAAGATGTGCCCGTAGAGTCCCACCATGATGAGGAACGTGGAGAGGTTCGACACGGCCCAGAAGATGACGTAGCTGACGCTGTAGAGGGGCGCCATGGTGGAGCAGGCCCCGATGTCGCAGAGGCAGTTCCAGCCCATGCTGGGGATGGCGCCCATGAGGATGGCGACGAGCCAGATGAGGGCGATGACGACGACGACCCGCCGCTCGCTCATGCGCGTGTGCAGCTGCATGCGGAACACGGTGATGTGGCGCTCGATGGCGATGGCGAGGAGGTTGGCGACCGACGCCGTGAGGCTCGTGTCCATGAGGCCCTGGCGGAGCATCCACGTGTTGACGGTGAGCTTGCGCGTGTTTGGGCCCGTGTTGAACATGAGGTAGCAGTAGGCCGCGCCCGCGAGGAAGTCGGCCGCCGCCAGGTTCGCCATGAGGTAGTAGATGGGGAAGTGGAAGCGGCGGTTGGCCCGCACGGCGGCCATCACCAGCAGGTTGGCGAGCATGATGAAGACGCAGACGCCGATGCCCAGCGCCATCACCACCTTGTGGCCCACCGTCCAGCCGTCGTACAGCGTCTTGTTGCTGTTGTTGTAGAAGAAGGCGACCGTCTCGTTGTGGTGGCACTGCGGCGGGGACATGGCGGCGGCGGCGGTCGTGGTCGTGGCGGTGGTGGTCGTGGCGGTCGTGGCGGTGGTGGCGGCGGTGGTGGCGACGGTGGCGGTAGTGGCGGTGGTTGCGACGGCGGTCGTGGTAGCGGTAGTGGTGGCGGCGGTGGTTTGTGGCGGTGGTGGTGGCGGTGGCGGTTACGGTGATGGTGGTGACGGTGGCGGTAGTGGCGGTGGTTGCGACGGTGGTGGTGGTGGTTATGGTGATGGTGGCGGTGGTGGTGGCGTTGGTGGTGGCGGTGGTGGTGGTGGTGGTTATGGTGATGGTGGCGGTGGTGGTGGTGGTGGTGGCGGTGGTGGTGGAGGCGGCTCCCGCCGCACGGCAGTGGTGGTTGTCGTGGTGACTCCGAGCTACCTGTCCACACCTGGCGGAGTGTGCGTGCGTGTGTGCGTGCGTGTGTGTGCGTGTGTGTGTGTGCGTGCGTGTGTGTGCGTGCGTGTGCGTGCGTGCGTGTTTGGTAGGGTGGGGTGGAAAGATAACGGAGCGGTTAGCAGAGTTCCCACAGCGTCGCGATCCACGAATTCAAGTTTATCTACGCACCGTGCGCGAAGGGGTTCAGCACACACACGCACGTACCGCGATAACCCACCCCATGATTCCGTACGCTGGGGTGGTGAGAAGGGCGGAGCGGTGGGAAGAGTTGCCGGGGTATCACGACTGACGCGGCCACTCCGCGTGACCGCGTCGCTGTGCATGGTACTCCTCAGCAGCGCAGCTCAAGAAAGCAGCTCGCCCTCGACCGCTCGGAAACCACGTGGTAACGGCGCTCGTCACGTGTTACAGCGGCACGCTCACTCCACGTTACAACGGTGGGCACGTTCCATCGTTACAGCGGCACGCACACTCCACGTTGTAACGGTGAGCACGTTCCATCGTTACAGTGGCACGCTCACTCCACGTTGTAACGGTGGGCACGTTCCATCGTTACAGTGGCACGCTCATTCCACGTTGTAGCGTTGAGTGTTCCATCGTTACAGCTGCACGCTCACTCCACGTTACAACGGTGGGCACGTTCCATCGTTACAGCGGCACGCTCACTCCACGTTGTAACGGTGGGCACGTTCCATCGTTACAGCTGCACGCTCACTCCACGTTACAACGGTGGGCACGTTCCATCGTTACAGCGGCACGCTCACTCCACGTTGTAACGGTGGGCACGTTCCATCGTTACAGCGGCACGCTCACTCCACATTGTAACGGTGGGCACGTTCCATCGTTACAGCTGCACGCTCACTCCACGTTACAACGGTGGGCACGTTCCATCGTTACAGCGGCACGCTCACTCCACGTTGTAACGGTGGGCACGTTCCATCGTTACAGCGGCACGCTCACTCCACGTTACAACGGTGGGCACGTTCCATCGTTACAGTGGCACGCTCACTCCACGTCATAACGGTGGGCACGTTCCATCGTTACAGTGGCACGCTCACTCCACGTTACAACGGTGGGCACGTTCCATCGTTACAGCGGCACGCTCAGTCCACGTTACAACGGTGGGCACGTTCCATCGTTACAGCTGCACGCTCACTCCACGCTACAACGGTGGGCACGTTCCATCGTTACAGTGGCACGCTCACTCCACGTTACAACGGTGGGCACGTTCCATCGTTACAGCTGCACGCTCACTCCACGTTACAACGGTGGGCACGTTCCATCGTTACAGTGGCACGCTCACTCCACGTTGTAGCGTTGAGTGTTCCATCGTTACAGCTGCACGCTCACTCCACGTTACAACGGTGGGCACGTTCCATCGTTACAGCTGCACGCTCACTCCACGTCGTAACGGTGGGCACGTTCCGCGTTGTAGCGTTGAGTGTTCCGCGTTCCAGCAGCAGCAGCAGCAACAACAAACGCGTCGCAGCGTCAACAACGCTTGCGCGTCATGCCAGGGACTCGCCGGGAGACAGAGAAAACAAAGACTCCCAATCCTGACCAGAATTGTCGATTTGCAAAAGGGTCGACAAACGAATTTTTTGGGATTTTGTATTCCACCAGGTAAGGGGCCGTCCATAAATGACGTCACGCACCTAGGGGGGTGGGGGGGGGTCAGACGTTTGTGACGATGTGTGACGAGGTGGGGGTGGGGTTTGGGAAATGTGACGTCACATCAAAATGCGCAACTTTAAATAACTATAGACAACACGTTCTACTTAATTAAATAGACTTTTTATGAATAAATGTTTTCTCCTACAACATCAGAGTGCGGCGCCGCTTTAAATACGCACTACAATGACAATAGTTCAAAGCCATTTGAAGCACGTTTTACTTTTATGTGGGGGGTGGTGGGGGGGGCAGAGCTTTGTGACGTCATATTTGAGCGGGGGAGGGGGTTTGACTTTTTGTGACGCCGTGTGACGAGCGGTGGGGGGGGGGTCAAAACTCGTCCAAAATCGCGTGACGTCATTTATGGACGGACCCTAAGGTAGCCACTGAACTGCTACGTAGCTATTTTTTTTTCTTCCCAGAAGCCACCTGGCGATCGCCAACGATAAGCCAGACGCAATGGCTTATGGCCGTCGCGAATACTCCGAACGCGTTGAGATGTAGATTCTCAATGTGGAGGGAGAAACTGGAGGACTCCCCGGAAGACAAATCCACGGCGAGAGAGAGAGAGAGAGACACCGCAAACTCCAAAATATACAGCAGCAGCAGCAGGCATCGTCAGTGTCCGGATTGACCCCACGATCTCCTGTATACCAGGCGAGGTAGTTAACATCTCCCAACTGTGATGATGATGATGATAGAGAGACACCGCAAACTCCAAATATACAGCAGCAGGCATCGTCAGGGTCGGGATCGAACCAATGACCTCCTGCGTACCAGGCGAGGTAGTTAACATCTGCCAACTGTGATGATGATGAGAGAGAGACACCGCAAACTCCAAAATATACAGCAGCAGACATCGTCAGGGTCAGGATTGAACCCACGATCTTCTGTATACCAGGCGAGGTAGTTAACATCTCCCAACTGTGATTATGATGAGAGAGAGACACCGCAAACTCCAAAATATACAGCAGCAGACATCGTCAGGGTCAGGATCGAACCCACGATCTTCTGTATACCAGGCGAGGTAGTTAACATCTCCCAACTGTGATGATGATGAGAGAGAGACACCGCAAACTCCAAAATATTAAGCAGCAGACATCGTCAGGGTCAGGATTGACCCCACGATCTCCTGTATACCAAGCGAGGTAGTTAACATATCGCAACTGTGATGATGATGATAGAGAGACACCACAAACTCCAAATATACAGCAGCAGCAGGCATCGGCAGGGTTGGGATCACACTCACGACCTCCTGCGTACCGAGCGAGGTAGTTAACATCTCACAACTGTGACGCCTTATGTAATGGGAGCGAGAGATTAATGCTTCCTTACAATACCTAATCCCCACCATGGGAATGTGGAATTTCCACCACCGCATTCGGAATGCCTGGTAGGTTGCGGGTCAGACGGACATCCGTGACAAAGAGCTTTGTAGCTCATCGGATTCCTCCTGCTGTATTAAACAAACATTCCGATGGCGGTTTAAGTCAATGACGAATCTTCCTCCTCTCTGCTTCTCCACCCCCTTCCTCCCTCCCTTCTCCCTCCTCCTCCTCCTGCCTCCTCATCATCCTCCTACTCCCCATTCTCCTCCTCCTCCTCCTCAACCTCCTCCTACTGCTCCCTCCTCCTCCCTCCTCATCCTCTCTCTTCTTTCTCATCCCTCTGCTCCCTCCCCTTGCACCCCATTCTCCTCCTCCCTCCTCCTCATCATCCTCCCGCTCCCCATTCTCCTCCTCCTCCTCCTCAACCTCCTCCTACTGCTCCCTCCTCCTCCCTCCTCCTCATCATCCTCCCGCTCCCCATTCTCCTCCTCCTCCCGCTCGCTATCAGCCACAGCCCACACACCACCACACACTCCAGATGGAGGCTGTTTGTTTTTACTCGTGCTGTGTGCGTGCGTGCGGTCGTGTGATGATGACTGTCTCCGTGTGTGTTGACCACGGTATGTGTGGGTACGTGTGTGTGTGTGTTGATCAGGGTATGTGTGGGTACGTGTTGTGTGTGTGTGTTGACCAGGGTATGTGTGGGTACGTGTTGTGTGTGTGTGTGTTGACCACGGTATGTGTGGGTACGTGTTTGTGTGTTTGTGTGTGTGCTGACCAGGGTATGTGTGGGTACGTGTTTGTGTTTGTGTGTGTGTTGACCAGGGTATGTGTGGGTACGTGTTGTGTGTGTGTGTGTTGACCAGGGTATGTGTGGGTACGTGTTTATGTGTGTTGACCACGGTATGTGTGGGTACGTGTTTGTGTGTGTGTGTTGACCAGGGTATGTGTGGGTACGTGTTTGTGTGTTTGTGTGTGTGTGTTGACCAGGGTATGTGTGGGTACGTGTTTATGTTTGTGTGTGTGTGTGTGTTGACCACGGTATGTGTGGGTACGTGTTTGTGTGTGTGTGTGTGTGTTGACCAGGGTATTGTGGGTACGTGTTTATGTTTGTGTGTGTGTGTGTTGACCAGGGTATGTGTGGGTACGTGTTTATGTTTGTGTGTGTGTGTTGACCAGGGTATGTGTGGGTACGTGTTTATGTGTGTGTGTGTGTGTGTTGACCAGGGTATTGTGGGTACGTGTTTATGTTTGTGTGTGTATGTTGACCAGGATATGTGTGGGTACGTGTTTGTGTGTGTGTGTGTTGACCAGGGTATGTGTGGGTACGTGTTTATGTTTGTGTGTGTGTGTTGACCAGGGTACGTGTGGGTACGTGTTTATGGTTGTGTTGACCAGGGTATGTGTGGGTACATGTTTATGTTTGTGTGTGTTTGTGTGTTGACCAGGGTATGTGTGGGTACGTGTTTGTGTGTGTGTGTTGACCAGGGTATGTGTGGGTACGTGTTTATGTTTGTGTGTTGACCAGGGTATGTGTGGGTACGTGTGTGTGTGTGTTGACCAGGGTATGTGTGGGTACGTGTTTGTGTGTGTTGACCAGGGTATGTGTGGGTACGTGTTTATGTTTGTGTGTGTGTGCTGACCAGGGTATTGTGGGTACGTGTTTGTGTGTGTGTGTGTTGACCA